TTTACACATTGAATAGTCTAGTTTTAAATAAATTTCTATCCTCATTTATTTTGCAATTCACAATAATTCAATAATCGAATTCCATGCACTCCCCGGAAATAGTCAAGTTTTCAATTTGTTGTATTCATAAAGAAAATATTTTTACATTGATCGCCTAGTTTCTTATTTTATTAAAGAAAGTATTTAATTTGGTAACAAAATATTTTATTTAGAAAAGAAATTCGAAAGTATTTCTAAAAAAATATCCAACAAATAACTGCTATACAAGTACAGTGTATCAAGTTTTCGAAATGCAACTAAATTGTCAAAAGTCATCATAAATCTCATGTAAACCAGTGCAATACGTGAAATCATCTGCCAAAACCCTATTTTGGAATGTCCCAAGTGACAAAAGCTCGGGAAATTCAATCTAATAAAGTGCATACGGCAATCGGCCGCCGTCGATGCTGGTTGTATACAATACAATCCGTCGAAGCTTTTCCGGTCACTGAATGATTTATGAGTCCAAACACTTTTGAGCGCTACTCTTGCCAAATGAAAATCTTACAACATGTATGTATAAGTTTCTTGTGGTTAATTGAAACAAACTTATATCGTTACAGATTAAATAAATGGGGTATGAGGGATATAAGACGATTGTGAATGCTCTCGCGCTTACTCAAAATGAGACGCTTTATTCTTTTTTTGAGAAGAGATGCTGATACTCATTGTATCTGGAAATGTAGATCGTATTTTGTATTTTATTAACATTTGAAGATGAGTTAAATTTACACTCCTGCTTAAAAAACTTTGCCCGCACCCAAGAACAAAACGACTGTAAACTTGAAGCTCCTTATCTCGTCTGGAAATAAACCTACAAATCTCTGTGGGAGCTTATTGGAACGGTATTTTTAAGCCATTTTAATTGGTGTATAATAATATTATACTAAGATATATTTTTTGCGTTTAATGAGGTAAAATCAAAACAAAAATTACGAAATTTTTGGTATATCATTAACCACTCGCTATTTTGAAAAAAAAATTGAAAAAAATTAAAGAAAAACTGTTTGTAGCTCTTTTCTTCTACTGTGTAAAACACTTATTTAAAAACATTTCTTATTTAAATTCAGCGATTATATGAGCGTTTCTTTCAGAAAAAGCGTCTATATTCATTGCTCTTGATCTCCGAAAATTCAAATTGTAAAAAAAAGTTTACTTTTAAGAAAATGCATTATTTTGTAAGCAGAATATATAAGCATACAATTAAATTTTGTTTATAATAAAAAGAATAGCTCCAAGTATATATGATCTTTTTTATTCTTTCAAAGTGAAGAAAAATGAAATATTGGAAAAATTAGGCTACTTGGTGTTATATCTGAAAAAAATATTTTCATATGATAATGACATTATTTTTTGCGTATTTTCATAAAATAAAAATTTTTTTTTTGAGTAAACTTCTATTTACAATTTGAATTTTCCAAGATCAATAGCTATGAATATAGGCGTTGTTTAAGAAGGAAATGCTCATATAATCGCTGAATTTAAATCAAAAATATTTTTAAACACTTATTCAAAATAGCTTTGCATAGTACAGAGAAGATCTATAAAATGGTTTTTTTTTTAATTTGTCAACCAGTGAGCGGTTAAAGATATGACCAAAATTTCGTAATTTTTGTTTTTATTTGTGCCTGCAAAGCTCTGTATGTTCATTTTCAACTGTGATATGAAGCTGCAAAGTTATAATTTGTTCTCGGTTGGACAAAGATTATTGGGCGGGAGTATATGACCAAAGATGTGTTTGCTGAGAGTATGATGTTTATCGTCGGTGTTTGTAAGTTGTTTTATATAATATTTTAATGACAATATTTTGATATCTGATTATTCGCGCAATTAGCTCAAGGTAACATGTCTTTTTGAACATTACTTTAAGCAGGGAGGGAGATAGCGAATAATTGATTAAACATTATCTTTAGCCGAATACATTAACTGTAACACACTTTTTATTCAAAAAATCTTTCTCTCTAGATGTCACAGATCAACATACAGCTTCTACAGCATCTTAATCATTAAAAAACAAAGCCTAGTGAAACGTTGCATTGTTCCTATGTCTATGTCTCACTTCTTACATTAACGCAGACTTTCGTGAATGTATTGACTACACACACGTTCATAAAAGATCGCCTCTCGCATATAGTGTCGCACAGTTCCGCTTTGTAATGCCAGAGTTTTACTCACGCTTTTGTAATATATTTGCATAAGATTACCCACGCGCGAAACAAGAAAAAAGTATTTTCAGCTTTTGTATTGTAATTTTGATCCAATTTTTGATATTATATAACATTCAATGTAACAACAATACAACATTCTTCTAGAGCTGCTCGTTCAAGTTCTTGCTGTGTTGTTGCGTTATATTATGCAGATACATATCGAATGACAGATGTAGAGAAGCATTTTTTAGAAAAGAGAAAGATCTTGTGATTAATCGTGAATATAGTAGTTCAATGTCAATAATTTGAGGTATAAAGATCATGGAACATGTATTATCGAATGATTAAGTTCTACGTCATCTGTAACTGCATAACTTCTACATAATATTTTATTTCGTTATTGTCATAAAACGTTCAAAGGAATTGGGCAACCAAGTACTTCTTACAATCTACATGATTTGTTATTGTTAAAAAATGATAGTTTTCCGATTTACGAATATATTTACGTCAAATGAAAAACCGGAATATCGATGAATCGACCGCATAACCATTAAGATAAATTCAATTGACCCATGAAAAAATACCAAAAATTTCTCCAAAGCACATGGTCACAAGTGTAAGCAATTGACATATCCGGCAGCCATAAATTGAGAGTCCGTATGACTTGTCCGTCGAAATTTCCGCTGTACACTCGCACTTCCAGGCGTTTTCTCAGGGTCGATCGGGTCTCTCTCGGAGCATCTTCTCTGTGCATAACCTACTTTCTCTACTAAGAGAATTTTCGTCGGCGTGTGAGGAGTTGCTGCTGTTGCTGTCGCTCAAGAATTTCCCCACTACTCTCTCTTGCTCTCTCTCTCTCTCTCTCTCTCTCTCTCTCTCTCTCTTTGTATGTGTATATATACACACACTGTCTCTGTATATGTGTGAGGGATTTCTCTTTCTCGTTTTCGCTTGTGGCTGTCGGTGAACTTCTCGAAGCTTTATCTGCGAGCGCTCTCTTTGCATTTTGGTACACTATATGTAATGGGCTTATCGCCAAACGAGCGATTTATAGCTTTACGAAATCTGCGCAATGCTCTATAGACCGTAGCATCGAATTATATTGCTTATGCTTTCATCTATGAATACACACACATACGTGTGTGTAGCGATTATATTTGTATATCTTTACCATGTTTAGCACATATTCGATGGGCTTAAGTTGTTAGTTTTATCTTTCTCACGAACGAACATTTCTTTTGCCTCTAATTAAGCTGATTTAATTTGTATTGAACGAAATGCTATCATGACCTTCTCATTGCCATATGGCGAGCTTTTATACACTACATTATGATTTTCACAAATTTTTTAAATTATCAAAACAGATTGCGATAAGTTGCTAAAACTATTGAATTCTGTCAAGGAAATTCATTATTTCATTCATTCATTATTATTATTATTATTATTATTATTATATTGTTATGGATTGCTTCACAAATTGTATTTCTATATATATTTCCATACCAAAATATCGACTTAAAATCTAAAACATGAAGGCGAAGCAATGATTTTGATAAAATTAAGTTTCTTTTGAAGTCGTCGACACAGTACTTATTCTTTTAATTTTGTATAATTTTTTATTACTATCGCATTGTCATTAACTTCGAACAATATTATTTTTTGTACTTTGTAGCTTATGCAATTCTTTCATTTATTTCATTTTATTTATTGAACTGTCAATTTCATTTTACTGATGGATATCAAGACTTTTACTAAATATTTTATACTTGTTCCTCTTAAATTAATCATTTATCAATGTGTGAAATTTTATGTCATTGATCGACGTATATTTATTGTAATATTTCAATTACCTTAGATAGTTGAAAATTACATAATACCTTGTAAAAGTGAAATCACATTACTTTAACCAAAAAAATTATTTTAATTCAATAGTTCAATGATAATCGTTAATATTTTGATCGGTCGGCATCGGTTGGGTTTTCACAAGTGCCGGACGAGTTTTTGCAAATGAAATAAGGACTAGTCCAAACGCACATCTCGTCGTTCGAGATCAATTTCAATTCAATAGCTTGTGCCAGATGGATGATGTGCACGAGCATGCACTAAAAAATCAAATCGAACACAGAAATGGTGTGTTATTTGGTAAAAAAAGCTATAGTAAACAATAAATTTGCGGCAAGCAAGTGAACCAATATTCTAAGTAAAACATCAATCAACGTCATACCAACCAAGTCGATTGATTCACTTCAAACGCGCCGCTCATCGAAATACCAGAGTGCAATAAGATACACGAGAAACTTGCAGCGCAATGGTGTATTACTCGGTGCGCGTATACGCATCGCCGCAATCCCATTCACCTCTGGCTTTACTCCCTTCCTTTTCAACTTTGAGAGAGTGAGAGAGAAAGATTCACCTGGCGCTTGCCGCCGCCGCCGGCGTCGTCACTGGTCCCTTCACAAGTGGCGTATGTAGCCGCCGCCGTGTGCAAGGAGGAGAAGAGAGAGAGTCTATATAAGTCGAGGACTGAGCAGCTCCATGCTCAACACGAATTTTTCGAGAGAAAGAGAGCTGCTCTCTTTCTCTCTCTCTTTCTCGGCCGCAGAGTGAGTGCGCGCCGCACTGCACGTGCCCGCGACTGTTATTTCCCGTGTGTGTCTGTAGTGACAACGCGACCATGTGAGAGACGCCTTCTCGGCTGTACGCACTTTTTACACTGACTGTTTAACTGCATTTCGTTTCGACAATTTTTTCCTTTTATTAGTGATTGGATTTTCTTTCTTTTTCGGTCTTCTTCAGTGATTTGAAGATTGTGCCATGGCGCGATTCAAGGTAAGTTCAGTGACATCATAAGTTTCTTTTATTATTGAATTCTAGTTTGATTAAGTCATTGTGTTTTTCATTTAGTTACGTTCTAAGTTTATTTATTTGATTTATTCTTGTCGCGGAAATAAAATAGAAATTCTGAAATTTATCTTTGCCGGAACAATGCGGGTAAAAGGAGACACATACACGTTAGAGCTGATGTCACTGCCATTTCCAAGATGGATAACGCAATATATTCAAATTTCTGAGTTTCGAAAATTGGGCAATGTGGCTTTCACAAGTGTTTATTAAAAAAATATAAATACGACCATCAGAAATATATAAATTCCAATTGTCGTTGCGTATTGAATAACAATCAGTGCCAACAACATGATGACTATGTATGTGGTAATAGTAAGCTTATTCTATTTTGATATTTGTACAATCAACGTAGCAAAGTAATCAAACTTTCTCTAATTACCTGCTTTATCGAGAAATTTCACGTAATCTTGAGATACAACCGCATAGTTACTCAAGCACGAATGAAAAAAAGCTATTAATTTGCTGGTGATGTCACGCGATAAAATGACATATCGCGACAAATGCCAGGGTTGATCGTGCAAACGAATTGTTACTAGGCATCGATTAAAATTGTACAATTAGCATCCAGTAAGAGCGTCTTCTTCCCTTTTACGCATTTGTAAAGAGTAGTTAACTTGACTTTGCAGTTTTATCAGTCGATAATATAATCGATGCTAATTTCGATTTTACCGGTTCATCAAGTACTCCTGGAAACAGATGTCTGTTCGAATAAAATATTTTAATATTTCCGCAATTTATCGGTGAGTTGCATAAAACATCAGTTTTAGGCATAAAACGTATGGATCATTTTGCTTTGTTTTATTCCGCATACAAATACCACTCATTCAAGGCTAATTACGTTGTTACGCATAAGGACTATTATATCGTTTTTAGCTTATTTACGGTAGTAGTGAGTTCTAAATGCTTACTGGTTTAACTTTCTACCCAAGCTTTTAGCTTTTGTTCCCAGTGTAAAAAGCCAGAATTTTTCTAGCTCCTTACAGGCACGTTTTCATTAATTAAATCGTTTTTTTCGCGAAAGTAAAAATTCAAAGCAGAAATTATTTTTTTCTGATTGTTACACCGTTTCTCCGTATCATTAAGGAACATTTACATGAAATTGTTGTTGAAGTAAAAAGTGTATGAATGTAGGCAGTTGCACCGTATAAGGGACATAAAAGAGAGAGAGAGAGAGAGTGCGAGAAATCTGTAAATTTGCGAAATCGAGTAGGTCCATCATTGTTTTTGTAACAACATCGCCATTTTCTGACTTCCTGATGGCATTTATGTGTAAATTATCTTACGGACGAGTTATCGATGAAGTTTTTATAGGTAGAAATTCTGTTGAATGAATATCATTAATTTCCATAAATTAACCGGAAAAGGATCACGATCGGAAGTTGGAAGAAAGTAGCGTGTGACGCATGATTCGGCGATTCCGTGTATGTGATTGTATTACTGACCTACTAAAGCTTATAAAAATCTACACATATTACTGTGTTTTCAAGCACAGTTTTTAAACTTTAACTCTGAATACACCAACCGACATTTCAAATTTTCACTTCTATTTATGCACGAGCACTGATGGACATGCTGTTGATTTGTGCTTTTTATGTTTATATTTTTGATTAATGGAGCTCAATATGAAAAAACTCATTAATGTTCTTCATTTTCAATTGATAAGCAAAGCTTTTCTATAAAAATTTAGCCTTACTCAATCATTAATTAGATAGAATATTTAGGATTAACTTAAGAAATCTACACTAGCAAAAGAAATTTTGTTCAAATATTGTAACAACAACTATTATTATTTTACGCCGCAGAATAAGTAAAGGATAACATTTGAAATGATGGCTGTTATAAATATAATATGAAAAGGGGCATTGATTAGTTTCTTATTAAAGTGAACTCTATGAAAAATATATTATGTTTAAAGCAGCCTATCAAAAACTGAAATTATTCGGGTAACACTAAAGAACTAGAAAATTATTATGATAATTTCAATAATCGATTGCAAGATGAACGATCGCGTACGCTAAAAGAAAAAAAGACCGAATGTATACATACAGGGACCTAAATGAAATTAATAATCAGCGTCGGAGAGTTGAGGCAGAGAGATAAGGAAGGAGGTGTAAGGGGATGCACATGTCGCCGTGATTAGAGCATGACTATGCATGAGAACAGCTCGCTGACCCAGAGGAGCGAGTTAAAGGTATCCGCTATATGTATAGTATAGTTATGATGAAAGTTCAAGAAGCAAATACCTTGTGGGTACAAGGGTATTATGGATAATTTTGATTTCTAGTGAAATATTTATTAGGATTATGTCACTTTGTGGAGAAGTTTGTCTTGCAGTCTAACTAATTATTCTTTGTATCTAATTAATCATCTCAACAAAGAATGTTAGACAAAATCTCAATATATGTCACTGAGTGAAACGTATATTAACTCGTTAATCCTCAAAATCATAATGAATCATCTTGATTGCTTTGATTGCCGTGACATGTGTTCTCGTATCAATGACGCCATCGTCATCAGTGACCGTGATTTCAAAATCAACTTCCGTTTCTGACAACGTTGTACGTCCAAATCACATCCTTTTGACTTCTGTACGACTGTATGTACGCCCATGTATAATATCGGTTGAGCACGCAAACTTCTTATACCCTGCAATCAACTTTGCTCGGTTTTTTCTTTGCTACACAGAAGCTTCTTTCCGTGACCATTGTGAGTTAACATTTAGTGGTTTAGTACCTCGTTGTTGTGGAAAATTAATGAAAATTACTTGGAATGAGCTCTTTGAGTAGTAAACAATGATATTCGATATTATTAAAGGATTACAGATTGGTGGAGTGTTGTTTTGAGGGGATTTCTGGAGAAATTTTTAAAAAGTTGGCTGTCAAAAAGGATAGGGCTACATTAAAACAGTTTGCCATACTGTTAATCATGTGTTTCATAAGGGATTGTCGATACAAACCTTAGTCCAATGATTTCCTTAATCCTATAAATATTCATGAGTTTTTTTATAAGAAATGAAGTTATAAGTAGAGAATTATATCTTGTACATTTGTATTTATGATATTCTATTTTTAATTTGGTTGTCATTAGGATTCATCTTATGATAAAAATTATATCCAATTAATTTAATTGAGCAATAAAGATTAGAATAAAGAAATGAAAATGTTTTCTGAAATATTTAATCATCGTATGAACATGCTGTATTAGCAATGTAAGATGTTATTTCAAAAATTTTAAATAGCACCTAATATAACTATAATGTATTGATAAATAAATAGATTTGATTTTTGATTATTCATCATGTCACTAGATATTCCCATGCAAAACATAATGTTTTTTTTATAAATTAGTGGCTGAATTGTCTGATGATAACATGAATAGAATCCTGACAAGTTACTTGTATAAATTCACATAATATATGCACGCAATACGCAAACAACAATAAAACGCAACAAGAAATATTACTTTTTTTGTGAAATCTCGAATAAAATTTAATAATTTTACCGCAAAACACACAACAAAATTTGAAACTCAAATAGAAGACTCGGTGGAAGTTTTTCTGATAAGATTAGCTTGCATAAAAAAATGTGAAATTGAAAACGAACCGCGAAATGCCAAGTTCGTGACTTCGGATGCCAATAAAACCGCGGATCTAATGAAATGAAAAATTACGCGGTGTAACGCTGAAACTGCAACTACTGCAAGCTATACACTAAGATTCACGAATGCGGTATAGTAATCTCGATTGGGCAACTTTATACAGCCACACGGTCATAAAGGCATTGTGGAATAATGTTTCGCAAAGGTATCCCCTTCGTATAAAACGCCTACCAGTCTCTGTAGTAGTTTGTATATCTGCTATTTGCCGAATCTCAACCGGACGTGTATTTTTATGTAGATTCCTCGAAGAACAGAGCACGAAGTAGAAGCGATTGTAGGCTTTTTTTTGTGCTTTAAAATTACTGGAGTAATTATGGACTTGCAATGCAGGTGTTTCGTTTTTTTTTATTTTATAAATGAATTTTATTATACAATCCGCTGTTCTTTTACTGATGCCATTTATATATATATATTATGTACACCAATATTTGACTAACAATTGATTTTCGTGAAATGAATCAGGGTTGCCGTAACCATTGATTTTAATTCCATCGAATTTGAATATCATCTTGAATCAAATCAATTATTATGATGCGAGTGTGTAAGATCATCGTGATTACCCATCAATATACAAATGAACAACAGCAGCAGTTAAAGAGAAAAAACAATCGTGGAGCATATATCATAGGACGAGAAGCTGCAAACGCATCGCGTGTACATATATATATCGCGCGAGAGAAAGTGCGCGCTCGAGTGGCTTATTATGTTAGCCTTGCATCGCGGCCATCGTACCACTTCCTAACAGTTCTCTCTCTCTCTCTCTCTCTCTCTCTCTCTCTCTTTTTCTCAGTCGCGTTGACAAGCCGCCACTTTTCGCGTATTACTGAGTTTCTTCTATTTGAATTTCATGAATTACATACGTCAACTGCGCACGCGACTTTTGAGACAGATGATTTTTCACTCGAATAATTTCTAGACAGTCAACTTTTTCCATAACATGAATTCTCTCGGTCTAAGTATTCTAGTTATTCTTTTGTAAATTCAAACGTTTCTTACCTTTTTGAAGAACTTTAGATTTTTGAATAATGTTTCTTCAAATTTACAGCCAAGGCGATGAGTATTATATAAAATTCCATAATTAAAAATGCATTTGGAATGTTAAGTACTCTGGGAAACTTCTTCACCTGAAGTTATTGGATTCGAGGTGAACATAATTTCGTTGCAAACCTTTTTCTGTAAAAAAGCCATTTACCATTTTAGATATAGGTGCAGTCATTTGAGGGTTACGCCACTTGGTACGTCTTGGCAGTGGATAACGCAACGCGGGCACGCGTTAGTTGCAATGCGCACGTTTACATAATTTTCTTGGCGCTCACTAAGCAGACGTTCCCGTTCCATCTTCCCATCGCTGTCGTTGTCGTATGCCCAACTATGTATATACAAGGCGCCGTGATTTCTCACGGTCCCCGATAAATTCGCACGAACTATAATTGAGCGGCGAAACCGCCGCATCGTGTTACCGGCCTACTAACTGTGAAGCTCATTAGAGTTGAAATATGTCTCGGTTCGTCTACCCGTCTCGTTCCACTGCGCTTCCAAGAGAGTCAGATTTTTAAGTGTATTCCTTACTATCGATTGACAATTAATCAGTTTTTTGCGAACGACTGTATAGATTTATTCGATATATTATTTATTCGCTTAATTTGCTTGAATATAACTTTATAAAATTGTACCAGTAAAAATGTTAAGGTAAATGTTATTCACTCTAGTAATTACAAAATTTGAGAAACAGAAAAAGGAAAAAAAAATAAAAACAATGTTATCACTCTTTATAAATAAGCGGTACGAATTTTCCATCAGGCTTTGCGAAACTGATTAACTTTAATTTTTTATTTTATAAATCTACGTGATCTAAAATGAATTTATAATGATTGTTATTTCATATAATAATTATTAAAATTAAGTTTCTATAACCATAGTAAGATAAGACAAAAATTATTCACAAGAAAATTTGTTTTGTTTCAGGTAACGATTGCGGTATTTTGCGTACTGCTGATAGGTCAGCAAGTTACTGCAGTTATAAACAAGGCTCCTTCGACAACAGAAGATGATGAAAAAAGTGACTCCGTAGCTGCAGAAGATAGAATTAGTGACTCATTTGGACCACCTGTTGATGATTATGGACCACCACCGAGTTCTGGTTTTATTGGCCCAGCACCCGTTTATGGACCACCTGAACTGACAGGAGATCATCGTCCACCTCAAGTTTATGATCCACTTCCAGCAGAAAGACCTCCACCACCTAGTTCTTCTTATGGATTACCAAGCAAGCCAAAACCTCAATACGGCCCACCAAAATCGACTTATGGACCACCAAAATCGAATTTCCGTCCAGGAAAGCCAAAACATGGTCCTTCTAAATTGCAATACGGACCCCCAAAATCACAGTACAGTCTTCCTAAACCTCAGTATGGACCACCTAAACCCCAATATAGTCCGTCTAAGCCTCAATATGGTCCTCCTAAATTACAATACGGTCCACCTAAACCTCAATATGGACCACCTTCAAGTAGGTTGCCAAAGCCTGAGTATGGTCCACCGTCGAAATTCAATGGAGCTCCATCTCCACAGTACGGTTCTCCAGCCCACGGTCCTCCTATTCCTCTATCAGACACATATGCACCACTGAGGAAACCAACAGCATCATTTGTATCGAAACCTCAAAATGATTATGGCCCACCACCTGCACAACAACAACAGTTTGGATCTCCAGGTAATAACGATATTTATGGACCTCCGCTACCTCCTGCTGCGGGAGTTCCAGCTCCACCTACTCCTCCGGATATCAAATACGACGGTTGGCAACCAATTGCTGGACATGTAAGTGTTCCACAACAACAGCTACCCCCATCAGATAATTATGGACCACCACCACCGCCTTCAAATGACTATGGTGTTCCTCCGCCATCGAATGACTACGGTGTTCCTCCGCCATCGAATGACTACGGTGTTCCTCCGCCATCGAAAGATTACGGAATTCCTCCGCCATCGAATGACTACGGTGTTCCTCCGCCATCGAATGACTACGGTGTTCCTCCGCCATCGAAAGATTACGGTATTCCTCCGCCATCGAATGACTACGGTGTTCCTCCTCCATCCAATGATTATGGTCCCCCATTAGCTAGTGGTACTCCCAACTTCGAAGCTGATGGACGTGGCTCTGACATCGGTCATGTAAATCCAGTCATAACAAATCCTAATATTCCACATGATTCTTACGGAATTCCACTTGCAAATCCTGAAGATCACAATTTGAAACAAACAGTTTCGCAATCAACTAAATCACATGAAAGTGATGGGTTACCACCTCCGCCTCTTCCTCAGAATGAACCTATACATAACATTCAACCACCTATTGCAAGTTCTCCATCAAATCAAATAGACCATCACCATTCTGGTGGACAATTTGGTAATGGCTTGTCAATAGTTAAAACAGTTGGTTACGAATTATTACCAAATCCAGGTGCATTACAAGGGGGATCACTTAAAAACAGATACGGGACTCCTGCCTTTGGAAATTCACATTCAGGAGGCGATGACTTATCTCTGCAACAACTGCCAGCACCTTCAGGAAACTATGGTCCACCATCTTTCTCATCTAGTGGTACATTTTCTTCGTCAGGCCATCATGGCGGAAGTTTTTCATCGTTTAACCACTTTGGCACAGGTTTTCAGAAAAACAGAAATCGTAATCGAGGAGGACATCGATCAGGATCGCCACCTGGAGGATTTATTCCACCTCGAAGACCACCATCAAAATTCAGAGATTCGGTACCAGCTGGGTTGTTTAATAATTTGAATAAATACCTTCCTCCTTCTTCAGTAAAACCACATAAGACTTATGGTGTACCAGAAATTCAAGACCAACAACTGCCAAGTTTACAAGGTTCATCATCATTCCCTGGTTCTAGTTCTAGTTCTTTTGCCTCTAGTTCATTCGGAAAATCTAATTCAATCGTCGGACAAGTTCCATTGGCCGCGCCCAACGTTAACTATGGAACACCATTGTCATTTAATGATTTTAATACACCTGCTCCATCTTTAACATATGGAGCCCCAAACTTTAAGGGTCCATCATCTCTAGGCTCTGGTGGTAATTTATACAGCGGTATTGAAAACTCAATTGTACCGACTTATGGTACTCCAGCAGGCAATGGTTACGATTGTCAAAACAATGGTGGTAGTTTCGTTAGTAGTCAACCTTTAAATTTGGGATTATCTAATCAAAATAGTTTTGTCAATGCAGGAGGTTTGAGTTTAGAATATGGAACTCCAGATAATAGTGTAGGAAATGCATTAGGTTCAAATTACGCTACTCCAAATATGAATCAACTTGAATTACAAAGCCATAATCAACAAGGAGGAGATTTAAGGGATAGTTATGGTAATCCTATTGATGTCCTGCATGGAGCTGCTGATCAATCTGGTGCAGCTGGAAGCAATCTTGTTCAGTCAGTCACGGGAGAATTCTCAGATGTTTCAAGTCATAGCCAAAATTCCTTGTCGGCAGATTCGTCTCTTCAGGGATCTGATGGTATTACAGCTGAAGCACTAACAGCAGCGTTGACAGCACAGGGTTATAGCACAGAAGCAAAAAATATTGTACCATCTACTGAAGTTGACCCTACTCAATTCATCAAGTCAGAAGAGGGTGGACAAGCTCTTGCTCTTGCACAAACTCTGTCTTCTGATGGTGATGGATTCCAAATTCAAGGATCTCAGGGTACCTATACTCTTCAAATTCAATCCGCTGATAGTTATGGAGCTGAAGCTTCTAATGGTAACATCAGACACGACCAAGTCTTATCAAATGGTCTTCTGCAGAACATTTTAGCTGCCATTGAACAACCTACTGGTGGACAAATTCAAATACAAATGCCTCAATCGCAGGCGTATGATCAGTCTTATGGCTCTGATTTAGCACTTGCTGCAAGTTCATCCATTCCCGCAAGTCAATCAAAAGGTAATGGAGAGCATAAGCAGTCGAGGAGCGACACGAGTCCAATCGATTATGATGGTCAAGATCAAGAGGGTAATGCATCTGAAGAAAGCAAAGTAGCATTATACTTTAATAAAGAAGTGAGATCTACATCTAACAATGAAAAACAAGCTGACTCTGTATCGAATGATCAGACAAATCAAGAAAATGAGAAATCGACGTAATTCGGAATATTATTATCAATGTATGTATTGTACTAACATTCGTAATATTTTTTACGGATAAAGTAGATTTTTTATTACATCAGGTTTCAATCGATAATAATAGATAAAATGATCAGTGAAAGTGCCATTTAGAACAGATTGTTTCGAGTGGTAATAACAAGCGCATTCTCACATGTAGAAAAGAACAGACTACAGTATGAATTGTTAAATTATTTGAAAAAAGAAAATTATCCATGTTATTAGGTGAATGCAAACAAGTCAAGTCTGATACGTTTATGTTTTTTCCATGATAACACAATCGGCTAGACCGAAAGAGAAAGTAAGAAGGATCGTCTTTGAAGCAGGAACTGCTTTTCACTCTCACGATTCTACCGTTAATATTAAGGAGCTCTCCGAGATTGTTAAGAGCCTCGCGCTCGAGAAAGAGAAAGAGACAAGAGAAGAAGACCCTTTCTCGGCCGGAGGCACCGACTCGACGAAAGTAGCAGCTGACCTCTCGCAGGTCGCCTCTCGGCGAAATCGTGTCGTGATCTTGACACGAATACCATGACTTAAGGTGAAAATGCTGCTGCTGTTCCTGCTACTGCTCCTACTGGTGACCACACACACGCGTATTCGAAAACGTATTGTATATGTTTCCCGAAGACTGCGACTCGAGTTAAACGAATTTTCGTTTTGAAGATACGAGTACCAGATAAAACATAAAAGTTTGTTATTCACTTGTCAAGTTTCATTGCGACTTCGACTTTATAATAATACTCATTAAGGTCACTGGGTCAAAGTGCTTCTGGTGAGAGTCGTTTCTGTATCAAGTACGTATGAATGTGAGTTTTTTTTAATGTGTGTAAATCCTGTGCGCTAATGTTCTTTTTGTATTCATTTATATCCATAGTAATTGCAGATAGTGCATAAAATAAAAATGAACAAAATTACGATTACGATGCATGAATAGAGCGCGAGTATTCGTATTCGCAATGTATGAATGAGTTTTTCAAGGTTTAAGCCATTGTACCTTTGTGTGTGATGGTTGTATTAGACCGATACAAAGTCAAGATTGCTAGTTCAATCTGCAATGAGAATCTTTGCATGCATTCGTACAATTTATAGTGCTGGCTGGATTTCAATACACCGTGGCTTAGCAGAAATCAAATCTTACTGTATCGATATAAAATGTATCTTTTCGTAGTAAAGGATTCCTAACGTTTATTTTAAATAGTCTATTACATGTGTCAATATTACAGTCTCGTGTATTAGCCTATTCCGAGTTCCGTTATCGAAGACATTGCTCTGTATAGCAGTGGCCGTACAGCAATTGCGCTATCAAAGCCATATGAGCGTTTTTGTATGCATCTGTGTCTTATCTTTATTATTCTTTGTAACATTAATTAATTTATTATTTTTTATGGATATATTAATATGTATCAATTCATCCAGTTATACCTGGAGGTGGCATCGTTATATCCAATGAGTGATCGGTTTTGTTTCTCTCGTTGGATATAAAAGATTACGCGTCAAATGCGCTGTATGTATATTCTTGTATACACATTGTGCCTTACGCGTGTAAATATATGCAGATTTTGTAAATAAGAAAGAATGTTATTATTTTCTTATCCTAAATTGCTCGCTAATTAAAATATCTTAAATCGTAGTTTGAAATATCCTACGGCCTTTTTTTCATCTAATTTATGCTGTTGATGTGTCGAGATTTATAGTTTGTTTCATTTTTCCTGTAATTTTTAAATGTAGATCGTGCATGGTAAAAACGTAAAATGTCAATTGAAAAGTTACGTCATAGCCTTCTATAATTTTTATGTTTCTATTAATTATAGATGATATTATTATTTTTTCTATAGCTGAATTTCATTAAATTGATAAGAAAATGAGGATTGACCAGTTTTGGATCTCAAGCTAATAATTTTTCAGCAAGTTTCAAGTAGAGAAGATATAAATGCCAATTAATCGATAACATATATCAATCGAAACGTTGAAAAACTAATTTCCAACAGACGAAAGTTACAAATAAAGTTCATTCAATCAATGAAAATAATAAAAGAACAACAGCCAATCAGAAGAATTAAGTATATATCCCGAGTATCTTAAGTAGGGTGATGTATTTATGTAAATAAAGCTTTATCTCAATAGTGATTGTGACCGGAAATTAACGCATTGCACATTCTGCATGTTTTATTCGGGTGCGTGCTCAATGATGCAATAGCACGCTTTTAACAATTATGCTCCGCATCCGATCTCATTAAAAACACAACACACTGTCTTTCCAGAATAAGTTTTAAAAGCGTTCTCGACTGTCGTAAATGTTATTTTTTGCCGCGCAGTTAAATGTAATGAAAGTCACATGAGCGTTTCGTTTAGCCGGGCAATTCTTTTTCGGTAATTAGGGGTAATTTTCTTAATTCGCAGAAACAGCGACTAATGGAACTCACGGTATTGTTACGTACAGAGAATGCTAAACTTTTTGCATACGTATGGGCTTACATGTATTTATGGGCTGGGGAGAAGTTTCAATGCTATGACGCTAATTTTGATGAAACGACAAGGATTTATTACGCAAAAGGTCGCGTTGATATAAACTTATATTTATTTATACATTGAGCGTTATATGACTCTGAATATTATTTATGCATTAATTGATTCCTAATTAAGTATCTGAAACATGCCAACTCTTATATGTACAACAAACGTATATGGTATTCCACGATTGCAAAAAAAAATGCATCTGAAAATAAGTCGACCATTTCAGAAAACGGCATCACATTCTATCTTTCTCTCCCTGGCGTTGTTCGATAAATATGTAAATACGCGACAAGAAAGAAACATTCATGCTGCAGCAATCGCAGCTAAGAGAGCGATCTCTCTTTTTCCGGGTATAAACCATTCTCTTGCTTCCTGTCAGAGAGAATCTCGCAAAAATCTCGCCGACAACGAAAAAAGGAAGCAAGTACACACAAAAAGGAAAGTCAAATCGAGGCGCGCACTTTATTTCCATATTGACATTCATACAGCCTTCTCAAAAGAGTGAGAAATCTACGGATACTCGTAGACGAAGTTTTAGGAGAGAGGTTGCATTAGTTAATGGAGATTTGGGAATTAATAATTACATTAAATGAAATGAAATGAAAATGATTTCTATTGGAGCTGATTGAATACATAATTTGCACGCTATTTCATTAAAATATTGCTTGTCGAAGATTTTGATATCAAAATTAGATCAAAACAATAAAAAGTCTTGTGTGATTGGAAAACAGAAATTCGTTACAAAAGATAAAAAAAATGAAGTGATCAGCATGCGTGCCGTAGCGACAGTAGCAAGACAGTCAGCGCAATCTGATGCAAAGTTTACTCTCATAAGTCCAATAAATCTCGAATCACTCACTCACTTTCATCAATCAAACCCTCATCAGAAGTTCCCTAAGTAACTCAATGAATACAGAAAAGCCAAAGCCAGATATGTATACACTCGATGTATTTGTGTATGTACCTGGATGCTTGTTCGTCGTTTGCCCCGAAGGTGTCGAGAACGAGTAGTGTATACGAGAGAGTTTGCAATTCTAGACAGTTTTAGCCGGAGGGGAAACAACGTCCTCCATTCCGGTAAGGCGTGCTTCGGTTACTCTGGGTCAATTCTATACAACCATGCGCGGAAGGTCGTTTGCGTCGTCGTGGGTGGAGAGCGTTTATTTCAAGTGCTGCGCTGATTTCCGGCTCATTCTCTGTTTTACTATCTTTATTCTTCTTTGTCTCTTTCTTCCAGGTGGAAAGAAGAGGAGAATTGAAATGAAAATTTTTAGGTGACACTTTACGGCTCTCTTGCCCCCCCCCCCCTCCCATCCCTCTCTTGTTTGAGGAATCACCGGTTTCAAGAGAGAAAAGAGAGGGAATTCTATATATTTGTTAATGAGATTCTGTTTTATTTTCATCTTACTCTTTAGAGTGGATCGTTAAAAAAGTTATGGTTGTGCAGTTCAAATGATTGGCAATGACAATTTCAAGTGGGCTTTCGGTTGGGCTTTTTTTTCAGAAATAATTTTTCTTTTATTTGGATTGTAATCAAACTAATGCTAATAAAATATTTTTCGCAAGATATACATTTATACTTTAATCAACAATAATTACGCTATAGCTTAAAGACTACATCGACCGCAATTAAGAAGTCGCATTTAACCTCATCAACGATTTAAATATACTAAGATAACAACAACACGGACAATAGAGGCAAAGTATCTGATAACCCTTCATTAATTCCACAGTATTTTAACCAACGACCGGGATGTTAACTCAACACTGACTATAACTACAACCTGTTTTAAATAAAAGCGTTAAGCTAATGCAGCTGCATAGAAAGGCAAATCCATAAATTCGATTATTGGCCATCGTAGAGGGAAAAGTGTCGGGCACACTTTCATCGCAAGTAGGAGTCTCATCTTCTTCATCGTCATCGGTCGATTACTAATAGACTGACTGCAGAGAGAAAACGTACGTCGTGTTTCGCACGTGCAAGTGAAAATTTGTTTCGGCGCATACATTTAAGTAGAACGAAAATGCGCATAAAAGATAATTACCTACACGCATAAATGGAGAAAGGACATATATACCGAGACAATTCCCACGAGGTAACAATAATAATGCTCGCTGTTACTATTCTCGAGCTTGTATACTTATGACGCCTCTCTCGTGACTTTCGGTTTCTACACGACGGCTGCACGTTTTAATTTTGAATTTCTCGTTAGTGTAGGTCATGGCGTGGGAGCTTTTAATAAATAAAAGCTGGTTTGGTACTGATTTTAATTGAATTGCTCCAGAGTATAGGTTGTTGGAGAACTTTTCAGGGCATCAAAACGCGAGAATACATTTCATGTGCACTCGAGGACTTATAAACTAATATAGAATGAATACAGGTATGCGCATACGACTGACATCTTTACAATGTGTAATACAGTATTTTAAGATATCTAATCAACGAAGAGTTCGTTTATTATGCAGCT